ATCAAATTTCATTTTGTTAGAAAGGACCCAGTGTTCAACTATGTCAAAATCCTTCTGGATCTTGAGCCTATTTTCTGGGGATGTGGGTGAGGAGCAGCGGGGAAGGGAGGGAGAAGGGAAGGGAAGGGAAGGAGAGAGAAAAAGGAAGGAAGGAAGGAAGGAAGGAAGGAAGGAAGGAAGGAAGGAAGGAAGGAAGGAAGGACAAAAGAAAGAACAAAAGAAAGAAAGAGAAGGAATGAAGGAAGACAAAATAAGAAAGAGGGAGAAAGAAAGAAGGAAGGAAGGAAGGAGAGATGGGAAGCAGAAGAAAAGGAAGAAAGGAGCAAGAAAGAAAGAAAGAAGGAAGAAGAGGGAGGGAGAGAGGGGAGGGAAGGAAAAGAAGGAAGGAAGGAAGGCAAAGTAAGAAAGAGAGAAAGAAGGAAGGAAGGAAAGAAGGAAGGAAGGAGAGATGGGAAGCAGAAGAAAAGGAAGAAAGGAGCAAGAGAAGGAAGGAAGGAAGGAAGGAAGGAAGGAAGATGAGGGAGGGAGGGAGGGGAAGGAAGGAAAAGAAGGAGAGGAAGGAGAGGAAGGAAGAAGGAAGAAGGAGAGGGAAGAAGAAGGAAAGGAAGGAAGGAGGAGAGGAGAGATAAAAAAAAGGAAGGAAGGAAGGAGGGAAGATGGAAGATGGGGGGGAAAGAAAAAAAAAGGAAGGAAGGAAGGAAGGAGGAAGGAAGGAGAGGGAGGGGAGGGAAGAAGGAAGGAAAAGAAGGAAGGAAGGAGAGATGGGAAGCAGAAGAAAAGGAAGGAAGGAGCAAGAAAGAAAGGAAAGAAGGAGGGAAGAAGGAAGAAAGAAAGAAGAAGAAAAAAGAGAGAAAGAAAGAATGAATGAAAGAAGGACAGAAGGAAGGAAGAAGAAAGAAAGAGAGAGAGATAGAAGGAAAGAAAGAAGATGAAGGGAGGGAGGGGAAGGAAGGAAAGGAAGGAAGGAAGGAAGGAAGGAAGGGGAGATGGGAAGCAGAAGAAAAGGAAGAAAGGAGCAAGAAAGAAAGAAAGGAAAGAAGGAGGAAGAAGGAAAAAGAGAGAAGGAAAGAAAGAACGTATGAAAGAAGGACAGAAGGAAGAGAGAGAGAAAGAAGGAAAGAAAGAAGATGAAGGGAGGGAGGGGAAGGAAGGAAAAGAAGGAAGGAAGGAAGGAAGGAGAAGGAGGGGAATGAAGGAAGGAAGGAAAAGAAGGAAGGAAGGAAGGAAGGAAGGAAGGAAGGGGCGTCGGCTCTTCCTGCCAGCCAACATCAGGGCACACAATGGATTTAAAATCTTTTTTCTTTTTTTTTTGTAACGTGGTAACCAAAACTGGATGCACTACTCCAGGTGTGGCCTTCCCAAGGCATAGTAAGGCGATAGGAACCCTTGGCCGGGATCTTGATTCAATCCCTCTCTCCACGCAGCCCAGGATTGTGGTTTGCATTGTCTCTTCTCTTCCTTCCGCCAGGAGTTACGGCGAGCAGCAGGCGCGGAAGGGAAGGCTCGGCCATGGCAACCTGGTTTAATGTCAGCGCGACCTGATTGCAAATCAAATTGCAAAAATGGCCTTTTTTTTTCCCCCCCTCCCCACATCTGTCAGAGCCTCTCCAGGTCTTCACCTGGCTTCAGACAATCTCGGGGGGGGGTTTGTTTTATTTTTACAAAGAGTTCCCAGCTTGCTTATAAAGGAGTATTAGCACCGCTTTGTAAAGCCTTCGGAAGGCCACGCTTGAAATATTCTGCGTCCAGTTTTCGTCCCCACGTTACAAAAAAAAAAAGAAGTTGAGACTTTTGCAAAAAAGTGCAGAGAAGAGCAACGAAGAGGATCAAAGGCCCGGAGACTAAAATTATACAAAGAACGGTTGCAGGATTTGGGGTTTTGGCCGGTCTAGAGAAAAGATGGACTGGGGTGGTATTTGAGGGGCTGCCCCAAAGAAGAGGGAGTGGGGGGGGAATCCTCCTATTCTTCAAAGCACCTAAAGGCAGGATTAGAAGCAAGGGATGGAAAGTCATCAAGGAGAGAAGCAACCTGGAATTAAGGAGAAACTTCCCGACGAGAATAATTAACCAATGGAACTCCTTGCCACTAGAAGTTGTGAGAGCTCCATCACTGGAATGGAATGGAATGGAATGGAATGGAATGGAATAGAATAGAATAGAATAGAATAGAATAGAATAGAATAGAATAGAATAGAATAGAAAATAGAACAGAATAGATAATAAAATATAGAATTAGAATAGAATAGATAATATAGAATTATAGTAGAATAGAATGGAAGAGAAGAGAAGAGAAGAGAAGAGAAGAGAAGAGAAGAGAAGAGAAGAGAAGAGAAGAGAAGAGAAGAGAAAATATGGAATGGAATGGAATGGAATGGAATGGAATGGAATAGAGTAAGGAATGGAATAGAATAGAATAGAAAATAGAACAGAATAGATAATAAAATACAGAATTAGAATAGAATAGATAATATAGAATTAAGGAAGAATAGAATGGAATGGAATGGAATGGAATGGAATGGAGAAGAGAAGAGAAGAGGAGAAGAGAAGAGAAGAGAAGAGAAGAGAAGAGAAAATATGGAATGGAGTAGAATAGAAAACAGAACAGAATAGATAATAAAATATAGAATTAGAATAGAATAGATAATAAAATATAGAATTATAGTAGAATAGAACAGAATAGATAATAAAATATAGAATTAGAATAGAATAGATAATATAGAATTATAGTAGAATAGAATGGAATGGAAAAGAAGAGAGAAGAGAAGAGAAGAGAAAATATGGAATGGAATGGAATAGAATAGAAAACAGAACAGAATAGATAATAAAATATAGAATTAGAATAGAATAGATAATAAAATATAGAATTATAGTAGAATAGAATAGAATAGAATAGATAATATAGAATTAGAATAGAATAGATAATAAAATATAGAATTATAGTAGAATAGAATAGAATAGAATAGAATAGAATAGAATAGATAATAAAATGTAGAATAGAAAATAGAATAGAATAGATAATAAAATATTGAGAATAGAATAGAAAATAGAATAGAATAGAACAGAATAACTTTATTGTCACGTTGAATGTACACTAATTGGCATATGTTAAAAACGAGATTTCGTTGCCTACAGGTCTTCAAGGGCCACCACCTCCAAGTTGACCACATACCACGCGACGAGATAAATAAGCAAATAAGTACAAAACTATGAACCTTGTGGAGGTTTTTAAGAAGAGATTGGACGGCCATTTGTCTGAGATGAGTTAAGAGCGACAGCGCTTAGACTGAGATCCCACTTCACGGCGCCTTCCCGCCCTCTGTAAGCGGCTTACAGAGTCAGCCTCTTGCCCCCCCCCAAAAAAAAACCCTCCTTAAGGTCTCCGGCTTGAGCAGGGGGTTGGACTAGAAGACCTCGGAGGCCCCTTTCCAACCCTCTATTCTGATTCAGCTCGGAGTCCGTGGTGCGCTGGCAGCGTCCCTCTTCCTCATTCCTTGCACCCCGAGTCAGCCCCGCCTAAGGCCTCCCTTGCGCCGTCTTGGCATCGCCTTAGATGCCCCGACTTGGCTCCCGATGCCCGGGTGACGTCTCCGGAGCCAGGACGAGGCTGGCGTTGGCACAGGGCCTGTGGGGACTGCCTGGCTGGCACCCGGATTCCTGCCAGCCTCTGGGAGAGCAGCTGCATTAAATCCGCCTGGGGATTAGAGTGGCTCATTACCAGATCACGCGGGATCCTTGTTTGGACAGATATTAAATGGCTTGTTTAAATATTAAATGGGCCTGCGGCCGTCGGGCGGGGCGGCAAGGAGGCGGGTGGGGGTATATGGATGGGCATCGGAGTGGCTGGCAGGTGACTCAGCCAGGCTGGGCCTTCCGTAAAATCAGATTTCCGGGACGGATAAAGGACTTTTGGTCCCATTTTGGGGGGAATCTCATCCTTTCTTCTTCCCACAGGTGTGTTCAAAAAAGTCGAGATTATGCAAAGGAGGCTCCGCCCCTATTTTACGGGGTGGCCATCTTGACTTTTTTGACCTCCCCCTCCTGAGGTCATGTGATCCAAAAGTCCGTGGGGAAGCCAGATCCACTTCACAACCTTCAGTTAGTGTGACTCGCTGAAGAACTGCACTGATTCACTTAGCAACAGGGGCAGGAAAAATCATAAAACGGGGCAAAACTCCCTTGGCAACAAATGTCTCGCTTAGCGACATAAATTTTGGGCGCCGTTGTGGTCGTAAGTCGAGGACGCTGAGGGTATTCTCGGGGACCGGAGGAAAAGGAGAGATAGGGGCTTGAAGGATGATAAAATTAACTTAAATAAATAAAATAAAATAAAATAAACTTAAGTACAGGAAGTCCTCAAATTACGACCACAACTGAGGCCAAAATCTTCGTTGCTAAGCGAGACAGTTGTTAAGTGAGTTTGGGCCTCTTGGGCTGCCGTTGTTCAGTGAATCACCTCAATTGTCAGATTAGTAGTATGGTCGTTAAGCAAATCTGGCTTCCCCATTGACTTTGCTTCACAGGAGGTCACAAAACGGGATCACATGACCCCGGGACACTGCGACCGTCATAAATACGAGTCAGTCTGAATTTTGATCACGTGACCCTGGGGCTGAGGCAACGGTCAGAAGTGTGAAAAACGGTCCTAATTCCCCTTTTTTTTTCCCAGCATCGCTGTCACTTCGGATGGTCGCTAAACGGACCGTTGTAAATCGAGGACTAAACCTGGGTTCTAATTTTAAAATCTTAAAAACGTTTTTAAAACAATAACGAAAAAGCCAGTAAAAAACATGAAAACCATGAAAAAGAATTAAAATGTCTCCGTCGATGACATGCCAGGCAAGAGTTGCCACCGGAAATGCGGTCGTAAGTCGAACAATTCCCGTATTTCGGAGCAGCTGAAGTTTCTAGACGGTCTTCAAGGGTGGGCCCCACCAACAGCCTGCTGCGGTAGTCTAATCCCGGATGGGCATTAATCTCAAACTCTTTCCTGTCTCCCGCAGCCACCTCAGATGGTACCAAGGAAGGTCTCGAGAACCTGAAAGGAGGCGCCTGTTTGTCCAAAGGGATGAAAGTGATGCTAAAAGTAGGACAGCGTAAGTGGTCCACCGAGGAGGGGGGGTGGAGCCTACACTGGTGGCTGTGGGGAGGCAGGCGGAAGTGACTTATGGGGCTGCGAAATCCGGGCCTCGCTCGTGGGGAGATGAGCTGCGGCGGTGGGGTGTCCTTTGTGTTGGAGAACGCCAGTAGTGGGTTTCACTTACCTTCGCTATCGGTCCGGGCCACCGCTGCTACCAATTCGCCCGAACCTGTGCGAACCGTTAGAAACCCACCACTGGAGAATACCCAATTCTTTTGACCAGAAGAAACAGAGGGCAGTATTTCTCAAACTCTGAAGATGGCTGGACTTCAACTCCCAGAATTCCCCAGCGCCATCGCTTGGCAACCGCCTCACATTTAGGACCATCCTGCGGTCACATGACTGAGATTTTTGGCAATTTTGGGGGCCTGTTTCCGGCATTTCTGTCCGATTTCCAGCAACCCGTCGAAGAAAACAAGTGAAGCGGCGTCCACTTAATGTCCGCCACAAAAATGTCGTAAAATAAGAGTGCAGGCACACGGCGACCCGCTTAACAACAACATGATTATAATCCCGGACTCAGTTCCGATCCTAGTTTGAGGACTGCCTGTATGTTGGGTTTGTTAAGGCAGCTGTGTCATTCGCACGACATGATGGGCTTGTGTAGAGTAAGGAACGATGCTTGGCTAGTGTCTTAGCGCTGCGCGTGAACGCAATCCTTTGGGCATAGTTTTGACATCCTAGTGTAGCGGTGACACAAAAAATCTAGGTCAAGGCCCTTGTGTGAATGGGGTTAAGATGGTGACGGTAATTGTGTCATTGACGCCGCGCCCTTGGTGCCTGGTCGTAGAACCGACAGCACTTTGATTGTGTAGACATGGGTTTTTTTGACTCACTCCCCCGTTCGGTACCAAGGAGTGGGGGCTTGGGACGCTGCGTTGGGGCATGGTGTGTCTTTTCCTGCTCGGACCGTCCCTCTTTCCTCTGCCCCATCTTTCCCAGATCGCAACACGGGCTCCAAATCCCAGAATTCCATGCCCGCCACACCTCCGGAGAAGGACCGAGGGACGCCAGGTGCCGCCGAACCCAACAAGGAGATGGTCCCAGGTATGGCCCTTCTACCACCCCACCCCTGGCGATTTCTCTCCCGCCACCTAACACTGGCGCACTTTTGAAGAGGGCATTGCGACTGCCGTCACCGTAAGCCAGCAGGGTTAACCGTCCGCTCTCTGGCAAGAAGCTTTCCGTCGTAATGTGGAACCCAAATATTCCCACGGAATCTTTCTACATTGTCTTGATGTCCTGGAACCTCTTCCTCCTTTCCTTTCTCTCTTCCTCCCATTGCATGTAGTCCTCAACTAACAACCATTTGCATAGTGACTGTTCAAAGGTACGACAGCCCTGAAAAAAAAGTGACCGGTCCTCATACTTACAACATTTGCAGCATCCCCGTAGTTACGTGATAAAAATTCAGGCACATTGGCAACTGGCATGTATTTATGATCATTGTAGTGTCGTGTGATTGCCATTTGCAAACCTTCCCAGCTGACTTCGGACAAGTAAAGTTAATGGGGGAAGTTGGATTCACTTAATGACCGCATGATTCACTTAACGACTGCAGGGATTCGTTCAACAACCGCAGCAAAAATAGTCATAAAATCGGGCAAAACTCGCTTGCTTAGCCATGGAAATTTTGGGCTCAAGTGTGTCATACGCCGAGGATTCCCTGTACAGTCCTCGACTTAACGACTGTAATGAAGCCTGGAATTTCTGTTACCAAAGGAAGTTCCAGTCCCATTTGTGGTCGTAAATTGAGGACTACCTGAATTCCTCTTGGGCTCTGAGCAAAATTTTCCATGAATGCTTGGCATATAACGAATAGGAAGATTAGGGAAGGAATTCAGTTGTAGCCGTAGTGGAGAAGAAGCAGGAGTGGGCTTCAAAAATTTTAGCAAGGTGTTCTCTGCCCAGTTGCTGGGTGGGCATGGGCATGGTGGGTGTGGCCTAGTCGGCCTCCTGCACCACGTTTGGTGGGGGGTGTTTTTGCCCTCCCTGGGCTCCAGAGGTTTTTCTCGAGCCTCCCAGAGGACAAAAACGGCCTCCCCAGGCTCTGGAGGCCCTCTGGAGGCCAGAAACAGGGCCATTTCCAGCCTTCCCAAACTTCCAGTAGGCCCATTTTTCGCCTTCCTCAAGCCTCCGTGCACGCCCTGCACTTACCTGCATCCAAAACGGGCCGCGTGGGGACTCCTGGGAGGGGCGGAGTGGGGTGGGTAGGACCAGCTAGGAGTGGGATTTGAGGGTTCTCCGAACTGCACAGAATCTTAGCTTGAGGTTCTTCTGAACCCCTGTGAACCCCCAGCCCTGAGAAGAAGGCTGCTATCTCCAAAGGAACACAGAACCCATTTTCCACAGCGTTGCACTGCCTGCCTGACCTTCATGTCAGCTGAACTTGGAGGCATAGCTGGGGTTAAAAACAGTGAGTCAGCCTTCGTCCCCGTTTCCTATCTCGGCCTAGGTTGAGACGGATACTTCGGCGAGCCCAGACAGGGAAGAATTGGGGGACCAGCAGGTTCCTGTTTGGGCCCCCCCCTCTCCTTTTACCAGGAGAATAAAAGAGAGTTGGAGGGGGCAGAGCAGGGTGTGATGGGTCTTGAAAACTGAACGACCCCTACGAGGCTGTCCCGGGCAGATTTCCGCAAGGCAATTAGCTCTATTAATCAGACTCGACAGACGTGAAGGTTGTGCTGAGCAGGCAGTTGCTCCTTTGGGATGTCACGATGTGCCGAACGGTTTTCAACCACTTGTACAAATTGTGAGGCAGTGTTTCCGTGTCCTCTAAATCATGGTGGCTGCGTAGAATTAAGACTAATGCCCATTTCCCTGTCCCCGCAGGACCCTCTTCTGGAAACACGACTGGGAAAGTGGGGGGCGAGAACGGCCCGTTGCCGCAGTCCAATGTACCCATCATTGCTGGTGCTGCCGGAGGAGCAGCGTTTGTGTTGCTGGTGGCGGCGGCCGTGACGGGGGCCCTGTGTTACCGCCACCACCGGGCCAAACACAGCGAGTCGCACCACCCGCCGTTGTCTCTCAGCACCCTGACCAGCCCCAAGCGAGTTGGGGGCGGAGGGGGCGCCAACAACAACGGCTCCGAGCCGAGCGATATCATCATCCCGCTCAGGACTTCAGACAGTGCGTTCTGCCCGCATTACGAGAAAGTGAGCGGCGATTACGGTCACCCTGTCTACATCGTACAGGAGATGCCACCGCAGAGCCCGGCTAACATCTACTACAAAGTATGAGGCGAGGGGTGGCTCATCTGAGCCCCCGTGGGCGGCGTTTGGAGCTCCGCGGTGGGCAGGCAAGGACTCGGAGCGGACAGGACACAACCGGACATTTAGCCTTCCTGCCTGTTCTCGTTCATCTCGGATGCTGCACAGAGAAGGGTTTGATGCACAGGTGCCTCGTTCACCTCCAGTTATTTTGGGGGGGACCCTGGAACTGATACGGCCGCTGCCACAAGGGATGCAACTCCTGTCCGATCACGTACGAGCGGATTCGATCGCGACAGCCCTTCCCCGTCGATTCCACGGCAAGGTCCAGCCCAAGTGTGAAGTTCATCTCCCACCTGTGGTGGGTGCCCACCTGCCAAAACAGATTTGGGAGTGGAAAACACTACACCTCCCCGTTTCTTTTGCAATAATTCAATCTGATTGCCTTGTCCGTCTCTCTCTCTCTTTTCCTTTTGACAGCTTATTCATGGGCCGCGGCTGATAAGGTTAGACGTATGGGGAAGGGTGGGGGGGTTTAAAAGCAAGCACCCCCCCAGCGCTCAAAAAAGGTTGCATTTGTTGTTAGTGCCACAAATCAAAACAAGGAACGTTGCAGGTCTGCCTTATTCCCACCACCATCCACCCCCAGAGCAGCATTTCAAATGTGTTGTTTTCGTTTCGTTTTGTTTTTTTTAACTTCAAAAGTTCGCACCCTTTTGGTGTTTTTCTTTTCTCTCTTTCTTTTTTTTGGGGGGGCAATGTTGCCTCTGTAAGATCTCTTCTTATTTTTCTCCCACGGGGTTCCTTCGGGGTTGTAGCCCCACAGACAAAGGGGCTCGTCCGTTCCCTAGTTGCAACCCTCATCCCAAATGGCCAGTTCCCCCCCGTCGATAGAGACAAATGTGTACATCCTCACGATGCACATGTGAATTGGGGGGGAGGGGACACAGCCCCTTTCTCTCTCCCCACGTTTGGATCGGGGAACCCCGTTTCCACAGGTTGGACCCTGTTGCTGGGGAAAGGAGATCCTGGTTTGTTTTATCCATCGGCAACCATTTTGAAGTCTTCAATGGTTTCGTTGCTGGAAGGAGATGGCAAACAAAATGGCCGACTTTCCCACCCATCCACATCGCAAGTAGGATGGGAAGATGAATTCCTCCAAATTTTTAATGTTTCTCTCTGTCTCTCTGTCTCTCTCTCTCTCTTCTCTCCCCCACCTCGCCATTCGGGACGGGATATTTCCCCAGCTTTTGATGGAGTTTTGACGAAGTGGCAACCTATTGTGTGTGATGTTTAGTGGCACGCCGAAAGAGGCGGGACTTCTTGTGTTAGACTGGGAAACGTACGTGGGTCAACTTTCCTGCTTTTTTCAGGGGAAACTGTGGTTTTTTTCAGCTTTAATAGATTTTTTTAAAAGTTCTTTTGTTTCGGTTTACTTTTTTTTAATCTGAAACGTTTTCTTAGCTTTCTTGGTGAAATTTTACTGTTGGACATTGTTGATTATAGACGTTCTTGTGCAACTGGTCTCGGACTCGTCTGGTTATTTCCTACGAAATTTCCTCCCGTTATAAAAAAATAAAAAAAAATAAAATTAAAAACAAACCGCACAAAAAACCCGGTTCTTCTCTTGGTACCATCCCTGTGGACTTTCAAGGAGCCGATGGTCTTCGCCGTGTAGAACTATACAGTTGGGTCTTAGTTGGGTCCTAATTAGTTAAGTTGGGACTTAATTTGATCTCCGCTGGATGGTGGGTAGATCCAGTGGTGGGATTCAAATAATTTAACAACCGGTTCTCTGCCCTAATGATTTCTTCCAACAACCAGTTTACCAAACTGCTCAGAAAGTTAACAACCGGCTCTCCCGAAGTGGTGCGAACCGGCTGAATCCCACGACTGGGTAGATCGCAAAGCAACAGGATGCCTCCAGATTTGGGGTTTTTGGAGGGAGGGGGAAACAAATTTCATGGCTGAAGTTCGGCTTGGGGTGGGTTGTTCAGGGACACATGCATTTGGGGAAGGGGTGCAGAGACATCTCGGTGAATTAGGGGTGCACCTCAACCCCGAGAACCCAGCGTCTCGTTCTGGAGGTCCACCATTTTGGGGCCGGCTCAGGGCCTGATGGTGTTTCAACTTCCGGCCTCAAAGTCCGTTGACCCGAAATGCAAGCGGGCAGTTGCTGGGCGTGGGGCAGCCCCCAACCTCCCCCTTGATCATTCTGGGTTTTCCTCCCCCCCCCGCCCGTCGCCCCTCACCCTCCACAGCTTCTCTGCCCATTCTTGAGCATTTCGAAGAAACGGCAGCGACATTTTTTGCACATGATGAATTGTGACAGGCCGGGCAGCACAGTGGACTCCCCAGGGCTACGTCTGTCCCTTGTATCAGGGATCTAATGGTGCCTCCCGCTCGACCATGCCTGGGCTTGCATTAAGTAAACAGCAGCCGGGGGGGATCTATGGGGTGAGAATTTGGGGGAAGGAGAGATAAGGAAACGGCCAGACCAGTAGCACCAGCTTTGCAGAAAAGTGTCGCCTCCTATCACCTCGATTTTGTTCTGACGGCTACAGGCAGGCGTGTAACCCTCCTGCCCTCCCTCCCCAATCTCACCCTGCCCTGCCCTCCCTTTCCTGCCCCACCAATCCAACAACTCTTTGGGGCCGGTCTCTTCCCATATCCAGACACCTTGTCAGTGTTGGAAGGAGACAAGGAACTCAGGAGGTTATTTTGGGAACAGGAGCCATACAACGCAGCAACTCTGCCATGCAAAAGAGAAATGCTGATCCTACATCTGCCCCAGTGAAGTGGGGGGGAGGAGGGGGTCAGAAGTGGCCATGAGATGGGTGGGGGGCTGGGAAAACAGAACACCGGCCGCCATATTGGCAGGGTCCAGTTTGAGAAAGAATTGAGCGCTACAAAGAGGCCCGTTGCGGTGCCACGCTGTTGAACGTATGTTCCCACCGTGTGAAACGGGACGCCGTAATGAAGGAGGACTTCTACCCGGCACCAGCAGGGGGCGCCCTGCAGAAGATGCCCCTTCTGCGACGCCCCGCGGGGCGACTTCTCCCTCCTGAAAGTCCAACCGGTGCAGCTCCTCTTGGCAGCCTCTCTTTGCCCGCCCAACGGTCTCGTCTACCTTGAGGTCTCTCGGCCGTTCTCTCTGAGCCACGGGGGTATTTTTTTTTCCTGAGTGGAAAAAGTGGCCAATTTGACCACGGTCTCTGCTGCATTTTGTGGGCTGAGCATGCAGTTCTGCTACACCTGGAACCGGGAAAGCATTTTTGGAAATAAGTTTTTTTTTCCCCCAGAGGGGAATGCTTTGATTTTTGGGGCATGCGGGCTTCGGTTCAATTATCCTTCCTAACAGGAGACAAAATGAGATGGGGCACCAATGATTGTGACCTGCCAAATTTATGTGGGGGGTGATCTCGGTGGGCTGGGGAAAGCAGGCCATCCTGAAACGTAGTTTGGTTTGAGGTGTCCTTGTTGGCCTCTGAGCTTGGTTGTTTTCTTGCAGACGTTTCATGGCCAACCTAGATAACGTCATCAGTGCTAGTAGGGAGTTAACGCCAAATTTAACATTAGACCAATAATCAAGCTAACGGTAAACAGCCCAACCAACGAAACGTCAAGACTCTCACTGACAGGCAAGCTGCTAGAATATAAAAAGAGAGCAAACTCCACTCCCTACTAGCCGTGATGATGTTACCTAGTTGGGTCATGAAATGTCTACAAGAAAACAATCAAGCTCAGAGACCAACAAGGACCCCATACTCCTCCTCCTCCTCTCCATAAACACCACTCCCTTCGAGCACTGATACTGTTATCTAGTTGGCTCAAGAAACTTCTTCAAGGAAACCACCCAGTTCACAGAACACCAAGGACCTCACTGTCCTTTTCTTCTCCTCCTCCTCCTCCCCCCTTCCAGCACTGATGATGTTCCCTAGTTGGGTCATGAAATATCTGCAACCCCACCCCCCCAGCCCAGCTCAGAGACCACCAAGGACCCCCCACCCCAGTTCAACCCTGAGCTACAAATAGGGTCTTCTCTCTCTATCAATAGTTGAGTTTGGCTCCATGGTGGTCCCCAGCACAGTCCTTCCTTCGCCCCGCTGGGGATTTATTATTTCAGGGCTGCCCGGCTAACTACGGTTGCCGTGCCTTTCTGTTTTCATTTTTTACGGAGGCTTTGAAGCTGCCTTCCCAAGTTTGGACGGCCGTTGTCTTCCAAATATGGGCTTAGGCAGAGCGTGGCCGATTCTTAAGGCCTCCTTGAATGAGGGGGTGTGAAATTGGGATTAAGATTTCGCTTTGCGTCGCTGGGGAGGGACGGAGGGAGAAATGCTCCTGCTCTTCTACACACAAACCCACAAACCCACAAAAGAAAACCCGATTCCCACAAGAGAGGAAGGCGTTGACTCCTCCAAAGTCGTGCATCAAACGTGAGACGGACCCAAATCGGTTCTCGTGTCTTTTTTTTAAGACACTGAGCTCGTCGATCGGAAAGGTCGGCCGTTCGGCCGTTTGAATCCCTAGGACATGGGGGTTGGATTAGATGGCCTCCGAGGTCCCTTCCAACACTGTTACTGTTGTTATTATCTCCTAGCAGGAGTTTTTTTTGGGGGGAGGGAGATGCCCTCCCTTCTCCCCACTCAACCACGGGACTGTGAGGAGGGGAGGGGGCGGAGGGGAGCCCATTAGCTCAGCCAGCTTGGCCGGGAGCCAGAGGTCGCCTGGGGTCACTCCCCAATTAGGTCACACATTTTCCTCCTGTCTCCGACTTGGAACAAACCGCCGCTAATGAGGCAACGGCTTTTCGGGGTGGGCTGGTGGGGGGGTTGTCCCTGGCTTTTGCAAGAAGGGATCTACTGGATTCGATCAGGAACGGGAGTGGGGTGGGGTGGGGGGGAATGCAGGACACGCTTTCCGCCTGCTGAAGTGGCAGAGAGAGACGTGACGGGAGGGATAAGAATAACGGGAGTAACCGAGCTGGAAGGGTACTCGGAGGTCCTCTAGTCCAACCCCCAGCTCAGGTAGGAAACCTTAGAACATTTCAGACAACTGGTCGTCCTGTCTCTTCTTCAAAACGTCCAGTGATGAAGCATCCACAACTTTTGGAGACAGATTGTTCCACTGATAAATAATAGAATAACAGAATAAACAGAATTGGAAGGGACTTCGGAGATCTTCTAGTCCAATGATGGCAAATCTTTTTGCCGTCGCGTGCCAAAAAGTGGGGGGGGGGAGTGCGGGGGGTGGCTTGCGTGCCCGCATGCCCACACCCATAATTCAATGCGGCCCATCCCCCATGCTTCCCCCCGCTTTTGGCACACGATGGCACAGTGGGCCCCATAGGCCCGTTTTTTACCTTTACCCAGGCTCCAGAGCCTTTCTAGGAACCTGGGGAGGGTGCAAACAGCCTTCCCCCCACCAGAGGCCCTCCGGAGGCCAGAAACTGCCCATTTTCTGACTTCCGTTGGGACCGGAGGGTCCGTTTTTCGCTCTCCCCAGGCTCCAGAGCCTTTCTAGGAACCTGGGGAGGGTGAAAACACCTTCCCCCCGCCAGAGGCCCTCCGGAGGCCAGAAACTGCCCATTTTCTGACTTCCGTTGGGACCGGAGGGTCCGTTTTTCGCTCTCCCCAGGCTCCAGAGCCTTTCTAGGAACCTGGGGAGGGTGAAAACAGCCTTCCCCCCGCCAGAGGCCCTCCAGAGGCCAGAAACTGCCCATTTTCTGACTTCTGTTGGGACTGGAGGGTCCGTTTTTCACTCTCCCCAGGCTCCAGAGCCTTTCTAGGAACCTGGGGAGGGTGAAAACGGCCTTCCCCACCCCACGGAGCCCCTCCGGAGACCGGAAACAGCCTGTTTTATGACTTCCCACGGGCCCACGTGTGCCGGAACTGACCTAGGGCAACGCTTGCGTGCCCACCGATATGGCTCCGTGTGCCATAAGTGGCACGCGTGTCATAGGTTCACCATCACGGTTCTAATCTAACCCCCTCCTCCAGCAGGAGATCCTATACCATTTCAGAGCCCCCCCCCAACCTTTTGGGCACGGAGAGAGTTTTTTCCATGGAGCGGAGGAGGGGCATGGTTTCACATGCTGCCTGCATCCCACGGAGGAGGCTTTGCTTGTTTGAGTGGCCCGGTTTCTGGCATGCCGTGGACCGGTGTCGGTCAGTGAACCGGGGTTCAGGGACCCCTGCCCTCGACCATTTCAGACAAGCGACTGTCCAGTCTCTTCTTCAAAACTTCTAGTGATGGAGCACCCACAATGTCTGGTGGCAAGTAGTTCCACTGGTTAATTGTCCTCACTGTTAGGAAGTTTCTCCTTAATTCCAGGTTGCTTCTATCCTTGGTTCGTTTCCATCTCCTGCCTTCGGGTGCTTTGAAGAATAGTTTGACCCCCTCCTCTTCTTTGGGGCAGCCCCTCAAATACTGGAATATTGCTATCATGTCCCCCCCTAATTCTTCTTTTCTTTTGATTAGCCAAGCCCAAATCCTGCTATTGTTCTTCCTATGTTTTACTCTCCAGGCCTTTAATCATCTTAAATTCCGTCCGTCCATCCATCCATCCATCCATCCTATCTATCTATCCATCCATCCATCCCTCTCTCCCTCCC